GATGTCATCTGGGTTTACATTGTCCCCATTCCTACTCTTTCCTTTGAAAAGAATTGGGGGAGGTGGAGCCAAGATAGTGGAGAAAAGGCAGCAACTTCCCTGAGTTCTCCACAAAGCATCTCTGAAAACTTTTAAATAATGCCATAAAACAATTCCTAGAGTGGCAGAACCCACTAAAGGACAGGAAACAGTTTTCTAGCCAGACAACTTAGAAGGCCGGCAGAAAAGGTCTGCCACACTGGGGTGAGAGTGGAGCACAGCCTAGTGCAGGCTCTGCCACCACAGACCCAGCCCCAGCAAACCAGGAGCAGGCCTTGGGAGCCACTGAATCAGCAGTGGCAGCTGCTGCTTCTGGAGCTCTCAGGCCACAGACAGTAAGGGGTTGGAAGAACTGATCAGAAAGAGATTGTAGGGGTCTTTTTTTGCTGAGACTGAGGCAGGACTCTTGCTTTGCCCGTGCTTAGATCTGAGTTACAGAGCTGGGTGGCAGTCCCAGGGTGAGGAAGAATACTAGCATAGCAGATCTTGTGGCTACAATGGAGGAGTAACACTTGTCATGGTTCCAGGGCAGAAAAAAATGCTTGTGTGCACTCACACACCAGGGCATGTAAACACCTCTCCTTAAATCGTAACACCTTGGAAGAAATGAAAACTTACAGGTCCCTAGAAGTATCTCAGAAAACAACTACACAAAACCCCTGAAGCTTGGGACAGTGTGCAAAGAGTTAAAAGTCAAGAAATAGACTGGAAAATGAGCAAACAATAGAAAAAAATTCTCACCATAGAAAATTACTATGGTGACAAGGAAGATCAAAATACACACTCAGAAGAAGATAACAAAGCCAAAGCCTCCAAGAAAAATGTGAATTGGTCTCTGGCTATGGAAGAACTCAAAAAGGATTTTGAAAGTCAAGTAAGAGAGGTAGAGGGAAAATTTGGAAGAGAAATAAGAGCGACACAAGAAAATAATGAAAAATGAGTCAACAGCTTGGTAAAGGAGACACAAAAAAATATTGAAGAAAATAACACCTTAAAAAAACAGAGTAGGTCAAATAGTTTTTTAAAAAAAGGTACACAAAAGCCAGTGAGGAGAAGAATGCTTTGAAAAGCAGAATTGGCCAAATGGAAAAAGAGGCACAAAGATTCACTGAAGAGAAGAACTCCTTAAAAAGTAGAGTTGGCCAAATGGAAAAGGAGGTACAAAAACTCACTAAAGAAAAGAATTCCTTAAAAATTAGAACCAGGCAAATGGAAGCTAATGACTATGAGAAATCAAGAAATAATAAAACAAAACCAAACAAATGAAAATAGAAGGCAATATGAAATATCTCATTGGAAAAAGCAACTGACCTGGAAAATAGATCCAGGAGAGATAATTTAAAAATTACTGGACTACCTGAAAGCCATGGTTAAAAAAAAGAGCCTAGACATCTTTTAAGAAATTATCAAGGAAAACTACCCTAGAATCAGAGGGTAAAATAGAAATTGAAAGAATCTACCAATCACCTCCTGAAATAAATCACCAAATGAAAACTGCCAGGAATATTATAGCCAAATTCCAGAGTTCCCAGGTCAAGGAGAAAATGCTGCAAGCAACCAGAAAGAAACAATTCAAGTATTGTGGAGCCACAGTCAGGATAACATAAGATTTAACAGCTTCTACATTAAAGAATTGGAGCTTGGAATATGATGTTCTGGAGGGCAAAGGAGGTAGAATTACAACCAAGAATCACCTACCTAGGAAAACTGAGTATAATCCTTCAGGGGGGAAATGGATATTCAGTGAAATAGAGGACTTTCAAACATTTTTGATGAAAAGACCAGAGCTGAATAGAAAATTTGCCTTTCAGATACAAGACTCAGGAGAAGCATGAAAAGGTAAACAGGAAAAGGAAAGCATAAGGGACTTAATAAGGTTATACTGCTTATATTCCTACATGGGAAGATGATACTAGTAACTCCTGAGAACTTTCTCATTATTAAGGCAATTAGGAAAAATATGTATAGACAGAGGGTACAGGTGTGAGTTGAATATGAAAGAATTCTAAAAAAATAAAATTAAGGAGTAAGAAAGGAACACACTGGGAGAAAGGGAAAGAGAGAGGTAGAATGGGATAAATTATCTCACATAAAATAAGAAGAAAAAGCTTTTACAGTGGTGGGGGAGATGAGGGAAAGTGAGTGAACCTTACTTTCATCAGAATTGGTTCGAAGAGGAAATAACATACACACTTAATTGGGCCTAGAAATCTGTCTCACCCTATAGGAAAGTAGGAGAGGAAGGAGATAAGAAAGGGGGGGGAGGTGATGAAGGGAGGACAGATTGGGGGAGTGTGTAGTCAGAAACAAAATACTTTTGAGAAGAGACATGGTGAAAGGAGAGAGAGAATAGAATAAACGGGGTAGGGAGAAATAGGATGGAGGGAAATACAATTAGCAATAGTAACTGTGAAAAAAAAATTTGAAGCAAGTTTCTCTGATAAAGGCCTCATTTCTCAAACATATAGAGAACTAAGTCAAATTTATAAAAATCAGAGCCATTCCCCAAATTGATAAATGATCAAAAGAGATGATCAGGTTTCAGATGAAATAATCAAAGCTATCTATAACCATATGAAAAAACGCTAAACTCACTACTGATTGGAGAAATGCAAATTGAAACAATTCTGAGTTACCTCATAATCTGTTAGATTGGCTAATAGGACAGAAAAGGAAAATGACCAATGTTGAAGGGAACGTGGGAAAAATGAGACATTAATGCACTGTTGGTGGAGTTGTGAACTGATTCAACCATTCTATAGAGCAATTTAGAACTATGCCCAAAGGGCTATAAAATCATGTATACTCTTTGACCTAGCAATACCACTACTAGGTCTGTATCCCGAAAGGGATAAAAAAAAAAAAAGGAAAACGACCTATATGTACAAAAAATATTTATAGCAGCTCTTGTCTGATGGCAAAGAATAGGAAATTGAGGGGATGCCCATCAATTGGGGCTAAACGATGAAATACTATTATGCTGTAAGAAATGATGAACATGATACTCTCAGAAAAATCTGGACTTACATGAGCTGATACAAAGTGAAATGTACTGTGTACAAAGTAACAGCAATATTGTAAGATGATCAGCTGTGAATGACTTAGCTATGCTGAAGGACTTAGGATGAAAAATGCTATCCATCCCCAGAGAAAGAACTGTGTTTCCAGAAGTGGAAGAAATTCTGGATATGGAAACTCCTCTTGGAAAGTTGCTTGGGTTATAGAGGTTTAGTCACAAAGTCAGAGTTAAGACTTGAACCTAAAGCTTCCTGACTCCAAGGCTAGGCCTGTGTTCCCTATAGCATTCTGCCTCTCATTTAGAGATCATACTGAGCTCTCTTTTGAGATGATTGACCAGTTCCTTTTTGAAGAATTTAGCAATTAGTTGCCCTTCTTAAATGTAATACAGAATAAAGAGCATTAATTTGATATCATAAAATTTGGATATCAATCCCATTTGTGCTATATGATCTTCAACAAGTCACTTAACCTCTTTGGGCCTCAGTTTCTTCATTTGTAAAATGAGGAGATTGAATTGATGTTCTCTAAGGTCTATTCCTTCTCCAATTCCTATCATTGCCTATCTTCAAGTAGCTACACTATCCTTTCTTTTCTTTTTTTTGTGATTTTTTTATTAATTGATTTATTTATTTTTAGATTTCAGTAGTCACTTTTATGAGATTTTGAGTTCTAAAATTTCCACTCCCCCTCCTCAAGACAGCATGCAATCTGACATGGGCTATACATGTACAATCATATGAAACATATTTCCACATTAGTCATTTGTGAAAGAAGAATCAGAACAAAAGGGAAAAACCATGAGAAAGGAAAGAAAAGAGAGAGAGAGACAGAGACAGAGACAGAGACAGAGAGAGAGAGAGAGAGAGAGAGAAAGAGAGAGAGAGAAAGAGAGAGAGAGAGAGAGAGGGAGAGAATAGTATGCTTCAATCTACATTCAGACTCCATAGTTCTTTCTCTGGATGTGAATAGCATTTTCTACCATGAGTCTTTTGGAATTGTCTTAGATCATTGCATTGCTGAGAAAAGCTAAGTCTGTCAAAGTTGGTCATTGCACAGTGTTCCTGTTACTGTGTACAATGTTTTCCTGATTTTGCTCACTTTACTCAGCATCAGTTCATGCAAGTCTTTCCAGGTTTTTCTGAAATCTGCCTGCTCATTATTTCTTATGGAAAAATAGTATTCCATTACATTCATATACCACAACTTGTTCAACCACTCCCCAATTGATGGGCATCTCCTCAATTTCCAATTCTTGACTGCTACAAAAAGAACTGGTATAAATATTTTTGTGCATGTGTGTCCTTTTCCCTTTTTTATGATCTCTTTGGGATACAGACCTAGTAGTGGTACTGCTGGATCAAAGGGTATGCACAGTTTGGTTGCCCTTTGGGCATAGTTCCAAATTGCTTTCCAGAATGGTTGGATCAGTTCACAACTCCACCAACAGTGTGTTAGTGTTCCAATTTTCCCACATCTTCTCCAACATTTATCATTTTCCTCTTTTGACATGTTAGCCAGTCTGATAGGTGTGATTACACTGCCCATTTTTACAATAGGGCTTTTCTCTCTGACCACATGAAACATATTAATTAAATCAACTTTAGAACACAAAAGACTTTTGTTGAAAGCCAATATTTTTATTTTATTATTTTAGTGTTGTTGGCATCTGCAGAGCAGATTAATAACTGTGAAGGAGGTTCATGTTAGATGATATGAGTACAAAAATGCAACTTTTTGTGTAAAAATACACGGACAAGTTCATAAAACTCTCCTAGTATTTGAGATCAGAATTGACTCTGATCTCCATTCACAATCTGGTAGGAATATTTTGCACTGTTTTCAGAAATAATGCCTAGATTTTCTGAGTCCAAGAAATATGTTTGGTCTAGTAAGACCAGATGGGTCTTTGATCTGATGTGTATTTTTCTGTTTAATTCTAGTTCATATCAAGTATTGGTGCTACCCTTGGCTCTCCAAAGCAATTTTCCTTGTGATTCTATACAAGATACCACTTTCTTTAGCAATGACTCAAGTACCAAGGGATATGTGGCTGCAGAAATCCTTGCCAAAGACATACCTGATGCCCGAGAGATCTCTCTTGGAGACAGACTGTACTATGGGAAGTTTTACAATGCACCCTTGAAACCAAGAAATGATTACTGTGTCATATTGCGAATCACCAGTGAATGGAATCAGGTACATTCAGAGTCCTCAAAAATTATGAATTTTATTCCCATGAAGTCTAAACTCTTTGAGATTTTGGGGGACATTGAGGAAATGGTTTAACTTTTGTTTTTATATCACCTTTGTTTCTGAATATAGCCCTCACCTCTACCCAGCAAGCCATCTTTTGCAACAAGCAGTTTTGTAAAATTAACCAACATTTTAACTGAATCTGACAGCGTACACAATGTTCCATACTTTTAGTCAGCTACTTCTTCAAAGAAGGGAGGGAGGTACATTTTTTGTCATATCTCCTTGAAGGATGTTTGATAATTATTGTAGTATTTGGTTTTGCTTATGTTTTTCTTTCCATTTACGCTTTCCATTTACATTTAGCCATTCACCAATTTATGGGCATGCTCTTCATTTCCAGTTCTTTGTTACTACAAAAAGTGCCACTATAAATATTTTATGATATATGTGGCCTTTGTTTGACCTCTTTGCGATATATGCCTAGCAGTGGAATTTCTTGGTTAAAAGTTATGACTATTTTAGTCACTTTATTAAAGCTCTGGATTTTTGAAAAAGTAATTTGCCTCTCTGTTGTCTGAGGTGGACATCTTAAGCATGTAATTTCCTGAAACATCTGTTCAGTCTTTACATTTCATATGAGTTTGACATGTACCTTCACATTTTCTCTACTGTGGGGAATCTTAGAAGTTTTAGAATTCATCTGTTAATAATCCCTTCATTTTTATAGTTAAGGAAACTGAGATGAAGGGAAGTTAAGTAATTTGTCCCAGGCCACATGACTGTTTTGTGGTGTAGCCAAATCTTGGATCCAGGTCTTCTGATACTTATTCCAATGTTCTTTGAAATTCCTAGGAGCTGTAATGATAATTGAGATTTCGCTTTTCATTACCCAGGAGAGCTCATATGGTTCTTTGTGAAGACACTGCCCTAAAGAGGTTCTCTTCCCTCCCTAATGAAAGTGTTCTCTCAACACCCCAATTCCATCTTGATTCATCTTTATTGAGGCAGTCAAAAAAGGAAGGCCATGTAAACACTTCCTTGCCCTCACAATTTTGTGATTACTAGGTCTCTCATCTTCCTCCTGCCTACACTGCAGTCTACTTTCATGAATGCATTTTGAACAAGGAGATAAGGGAGAGAAGAAAGCACCAGAGAGCTGTTCTGTTTAGTCCTCACACCTGTCTCCATTTTCCTCTTCCTTTTCTGCCTTCTCTGATCACTTGTCTTCATATCAGACTGAGAACTAAGAATGGATTCATGTCCTAAAGAAAGTCAGAGGAAGACCAGATAGACAAACAGTGTAGACTAAAAAGGTTTCAGCATTGTTTTTGTTCAGTTGTTTTTCAATTGTGTCCAATTCTTCATGACCCCATTTGGGGTTTTCTTGGCAAAGATACTGGAGTGGTTTGCCTTTTCCTTTTCTAGTTCATTGTATAGATGAGGAAACTGAGGCAAATAGGGCAAAATGACTTGCTCAGAGGTCACACAGTTAGTAAATGTCAGAGGCCAGATTTAAACTCAGGAAGATGAGTCTTCCTGACTCTCTGCCAGCACTCTATCTACTGTACCACCCAGCTGTCCTACCCACCTAGCTTCTCCACCTTATCTAGTGTACCAATAAGTAGAGGGTATAATGAAGCATTTCTCTTATCCCATGAGCCTTTCATTTGATATTGTAGGTGAAGTTGTCATCCTAGAGGACCCAAGTTCCATACCCAGAAAACCACAAGAAGACAAGAACACAATGCTGAATGTTTCTGTTCACTGCCTGTTTATGGGGCTTGGGTTCTGTGTGGAAATAATTCTTATTGTGATGACTCCATGGTCAACCTCACTGCTTAGCCTGGGAATGAAGAGTCAAGTGGGGTCATCTGTTATAGGGTCTTGACTGGGCAATGTCATTGTCAGACATGTACTGAAATCTTACATTTAGAATTAAAAGTGACTCCAGAGTCTACCCAGTCCAACCCCTTCATTTTACAGATAAGGGACTAAGACTAAGAGAGGCTAATTAAATTACCCAAGGTCACACAGGTAGTAAGTAGCAGAGCCAAAATTCCAACTCAGGTCCTCTGACTCCAGGTCCCATGCTCTTTATATGGCACCATGCTACCTCCCTAGGAAATTCGGTGACCATTGATTATAATATCATGTTCAGAAATGTCTTTTGCCTTGTACCATCAGAGAACTGGAACATAAATTATCCAAGATTTGAATTTGTCAAAGAAAGCTGGACTCCTGCTTCCAAACCCCAGACCTCCAGGGTTTTAAAGTTTTGAGCAGAAAACTGACAGAGTTGAGGGCATAAGTGGTATTTTCATCAGCAATGCCAAAGGAATGTAGGTCATTTAGAAGAGAGGTTAAATCTGAGAAGTGAGCAATTTGATATGAATGTGTCAGGAGAACAGGATGTAGTGTGGTTTTCTGAACCATTGCTTCATGTACAGGAATGTTGGGTCCCTGGCAAGGGCTGTAGTACATCCAGGAAGCACAAAGAAGAGAGTTTGGAACTTGCATGACCTAATTTAAGAGAGCTTTAAGCTGAAAAATGAGGGGAAAGGAGGAAAGTATCAAATTCACCCAGATTAAATAATCACTGAGATCCCAGAATCCAACTCTGAAGTTCAACAATTCAACATATCTAGTATTTACTAAAAGTGCCTACTCTGTTCAAAGTACCACACAAAACCAAAATAGACTTGCCCTCGTGGGACAGTAAGTATACATGGCATCACCAGTGGATCGGGCACTGAACTTAGTGTCTGGAATCAATCAGAAAGTAAGCATTTATTAAGTGCCTACTGTATGTCAAGCACTGTGCTAAAGGTCTGGGGATACAAAAAGAGAAAAAAAGAAATAACTGCTCTGTCCTCAGGAGGCTTCCAATCTAATGACAATCCACAAAAGAAAGGTAAAAAGTGGGGTTGAAGGAGAAGTAGTGGAGTCCAATCCAAGGAGTGTAGCTAGTAGGAAATAAAGAGTTTGCTGATCTGTGAGCCCTGTTTAAATGGAGGCTTTAGGAGGAGTTCTTTGCTCTGCCTTCCAGCCCTCCAATCAGAAGGTCAGAGGGTATTGAGGGTCTGGAAGATCTGGGTTCAAATCTCATCTTCAATATTTGCTAGCTATATGACATTTAACCTCCTTATCTTTCTCATCTGTAAAATGGTGGGATTGGGCTTGAAGTCTCTTCTAGCCATAAACATATTCTCCTTTCTTCCAATGATCCCAAGGCCATTAGGTGGGGAACTTGGGTCCAGTGGGCTGCAACTTTATCATCTACCCCAATGACAAATAAAAAGCTCATGGGATAAGAGTGGGGCTTCACTACACCCTCCACTTAGGCAGAGGACCTGATAATTCCTGCTTTCTTGAAATCTGGGAAAGGGCAATGAGGAGGAAGAAATGCTTTGTGAATTTGTGATTTTCTTTCTTCCACCCATTCCAGACCTAGAGTGGATCTAAATTTTTGTTCAGACCTTAGAGATATCCTGGTGGTTGATCTGTAAGGACCCACCAAAGATCAGTTGGTTCATCCTTTCACACTAGGCAGAACCATTCTGAAACCATCTTACAACCAACAGGTCGAAGAGTAGACCTGCCCAATGAGGTGTCAGTCCTTAGAACATGTTCATTAATCTCTGTCTGCTGCATTTAGCTACATGGAGGCTTGGTAAGTTTCTTTCTGGAAACATGTGATGCAAAGGGCTCTTTGTTTCCTTTTGGCTTACTGTGTCTACTAGAAGAATCTGGCAGCAATTCTGGTTGTTAGACCTCCGGTGGTTCTATCAACCTTTTGAAGCTCCTAAGGTCCTAACCATATCATTCTGTCTCTGATATTAATTCATTTAATACAGTGAGAGAGACAGAGGCTCCTGGGTGGGGTAGATAAGGCAGCTGCTGTTTTTGTTTCTGCTTTCTCTTCTCCCACATGGAGGCCTACAGCAAGCAGTTCTTACTTCACTTGCCACCAGGGAGGAGAGCAAGTTTTCATCTGTTTAGTCTTTTATACGCATGTTCAGTTCTGGCTCATCTCCAAATTTAAAAGGCTTTTTTGTCACCATGCAGTTAGCTGACAGGAAATAGAAAATACGAATGCATGCTGATGAGGAAGAGAGAAGGCAAGGTCCCTCATTATACAAATAAAGAATTCATCATACTTTAAGTGAATTCCTTGACAAAAGATCTCAAAGACTCTTCCCTAAACGCTTTTGTGATCTCACAGTTACCATTCTGTGTGAAATTTCCCTTCTCAGTCCGAGCTGTGAGACTGAGGAAGTTGTTTAAATTCCCTGGGTTTTCATCTCCTCATTTCAAAAGAAAGGTTGCAGTAGGTTCTGGCTACTGTTCTTTGGATTAAAAAAAAAAGAAGACATTTGCTTTTCTTGGCTTATTTTTGTGGAAAACATGATTATGATATTTTTGAGGAACAGAAGCCAGAAAACTGGGAAAATCAAAGGTAATGCCTTCCTCTCTGGTTAAAATAATAAGCAAGAACCCAGAAGAGAAAGAAATATCCAGAGTGTGGTATCATGAGATTCTGTACAAGAGAAACATTGGTTTGTATAAGTTAATCATTTCAGACACAATTCAGTGCCGAGAACTTATGTATCAGACAGATCAGATTCACAGCATTTAGGATGGACACTAAAGATGGTCATATAGAGACACATATGTAAGTGTGTGGAGCTTCAAGAAAAATTAAATAAATTAAAAGTTAGTGACTGACATCAGTTGGGATGAAAATGAAAAAAAAAAGATTGTGAAATGCTATGGAGTCTTTCTCACATATTCTTTAAGCCCTCATCCCTCCCCCTTCTCCATTACACCAAATTACCCCTTGATTCTTAGGAAATGACTCTTACTTCACTGAGAGGATTGAACTCATAATGTCTTGTAACACGAGTTCTCACAACTTTAGGATTCCTGAAAATCAAAACTAAAAAAATCTGGCCATAACATGACGCATCAGTGAGAAGCAACTGACTTCTCTTATGAAATCT